TTTCATGTACACATAAATACAAGGTGACCCAACTAAAACTTGACACGGGGGTTTTGAGTATTAATATCATGGATGTTAAAAAACGCTCGGACAGGTCGATTTTAGTTTGAAGAGAGACATATTATCAACTGTCATACGTCATTCCCCTCTACTCCGTTACTCTAACCAATGCAATTTAAATAAGAATAGTACAAAGTTTGACAGATTATTGAAAAGGTAATTTTAAGGAGAATTCAGCAATATGACTATTCCTTGCGTTACTTTTGATTGTAGCGCCCTCTAGCGGGATGAAAACTGTTACCTATTGTAAAGCTAATTTTATTAGGAATTTAATACGTAGCATACATTTGTTTATTTTTTTTATTTGTAATAAAGTTTGTATTTCTTAACGTTTCAACTTTGTAATTATTTAAGTAAATGCTTCAGTCAATTATATTTTATGTTGTGCATTAAAATAATATTAAAATTAGCTTTCAAATAAAGTGCCACATTTTATAATAGGTAACAGTTTTTTATCTCGCTAGAGGGCGCTAAATTCAAAAGTAATGCAATGAATAGTCACATGGGCGTAGGCGAGAATTTTGTCTAGGGGGGGACAGGACAACATAATTTAAAAATGATATATATACACTTATTTTTGTAGTATAGAAAGAGTGCTTGAAGAGAAAAACAAACATAGAAGTGAGCACAATTTAGAGAAAATACGCATTATTTTAATGTTAGATTGTTATTAAACTATATATAAATAATCCTAATATTTATTGAATAATAACAGTTACAAAATTTTTTATACATTTTACTCAGTTTATTTTGATTTAATAAGAAAATAACTCCAAATAGAATGTATTAGGATATTTTAATTAATGTTGCTCGTTGTGAAAAGTATTACCAATATTGGAATAATTTTGCGAAATTGAAATAAAATAAAACAATTTTATAAAAAAATATTATTTTGTTTAAAAGTGATATTAACTTCAAAAGCTTATATACTCGTATAATAATACTAAATTTGAATAAATCACTACATTCTTTTCTCAGATAAATGCCAACTTCTGCGAATCTCTCCAGAACTGTTGGTACTAATAGTTATTTAAACGCTTATCATATATTATTAAAAAATAAATCGTTGTTAAACGTAACCACCTTTTCGACTCTCCTCAAAGTGCTGAAGGATCTCTTAATAGTGGCCGTGGTGTATGGCAAGGAAAGCAGTATTTCTAATGCTTCCCGAATTCTTGGGAAAAAACTGTTGGTCTCTTGAATTATTTCAACCAAATCGTATTCTTCTTTAGTATCTTTTTCCAGCTACATCTTGTACCATAGCTCTCCCTCACTATGTATCCCATTTAAATTGTAAAATTTTAAACTATTTAAATTAGTTTTAAACTTTTTAAAACTGATGCTTCGCATTTGAAATGGCCGGTGTGTTTTCTTCCACAAACAGTTGTTCTAAAGAGGCCCTTAGAGAGTCCAAATGAGGTAAGTACAGGTAGCGTTTGAAATATTCAGTTAACGATGAAGCTGAAGGATTGGATCGAGTCTTGGACGTCGCAGCTCTACACCAATTTTCTCGGTTTCATTGGCAAATTCCTTGATGTCCTTTTACGCAGATGTCCAATGTGCTGTTACTACAACAAGAACTCTCTTTATATGCTCAGCACATTTCATCACAATCCAGGTTTTTTACTGTTTGCTCCAGGTTCCAACAGAGAAGAGTATTTAGATATATTATATAAGTAAAATATAAATAAAGTTTGCTTAATTTAACAGAACAGCTAGTTTTCTTGTTCCAGCATTCCCTACGATTGATTGTTTTTCAAGGCCTTCTACATTTGCTAAAAAATTATCTTTAAAGAGAGCAATGCTTTTGTATTTGTAAGACCAGCGTGTTTCGCATAATACAGGTATATTTGGGGCTTATTTCCTGCATAGTACGGATTCACTGAAAAAATTAATATTATATCACTGTTAAAATACAATTGCGGACCACAGGGACACTATTGAGGTCATTGAGGCAAATTTGTGACTTGCACAATGAAAAAATAAACTTTTCTTGAATGTGTCCTTTAATATCCCTTCCCACTATCGTTGCGCATCCATCATAACCTTGCCCAACACACTTTTCTACATCAATCCCTAAATCGATAACAAAACGGTGGATTGCATCGGCTATGGTAATGACATCCATAGCATAGCTCAGCAAAGCCAAAAAATTCCTCTATGACCTTCGTTTGTCCACTGTCGAAGAATCGAACTCCAATTGAAAGCTGTTCTTTTCCAGATATGTCTGCAGTTTCATCTGCTAATATACTGAAAGCTGCTGCTTTTTTATAACTTTAACTAAATGCTCCTTTAGGATAACTCCAAAAAAAATTATAATTTCATTTTGGATACCAGGTGATGTGTATAAGCATTTTTTGAGCCTTTGTCTATATGCTTTTTAAAATCCTCATCACCAGCTTCAACTCTTAGCATTATTAAAGAATGAAATATACCTGAAACAATAAAAAATATAACAATAATTAATTTACGCCCGCCCTCATGTATATTATTGCATCAGAATAATAAAAAAAAGTTGTTTATCCTTTCCTCTGAGAGGAAAGTCATGAGTTCCACAAAACACTATTGCAGAAATAATTGATGAAAGAAATGTCTTGTTTTCTTTAACTATTTTCTGGTGGCCAGTTTGCATTATTACATCGACCGATCTGCAAATAGTTTTGCTAGACTCTTTGTGCCACCCCGAATTAACATGCATTTGGCATTATGCGCATGTATGTCTTTGAATTTAGTGAAAGGTCTTATGATTAAAGATTCAAAAATACACGAGGATTAAAAACTGCAAACTTAGCATTATTTTTCAAAATTTCAAGAAATGCCTTCCAAAGTTACTTATTTTTTACTCATATACCAATTTAAAAGTTTTTCGCGCAACTTTTGTTTTTTTGAAAAATTCATTTTTAGTTTACTGGAATTTTAGCGGACCTGTATAAAATATTTTTTTTACGCGAAGCACTTCTTTTAAATGTATTTTTGTTTTTAAATGTTGCAATAAAGTAACCCAAAATTGAATAGTAGGAAAAATTAAAAACAAAAAAAAAAAACAAAAGTTGTGGCAAAAACTTCAAATTTGGTATATCGGTAAAAAATTATAAAATAAGCTGTTACGCATTTCCCAAAAAATTTGAAAAATGCCAGTTTTTGCAATTATTCGGAAAAAATTTGAATTTTTACAAAAAACGTCACGAGATTGACTATTTGCATGTTATTTGCATATCATTTGTTATAATTTTTAAAGCAACAAATGTTGCCAGTCAAAATTTATCTACAGCATTTATAATAAAATAATATATGATGCGCACTGTATATTTTAAGATCCCCCCTGTATATGCCCATGAATAGTCATATTGCAGAATTCTCCTTAAAATTACCTTTTCAATGATGTGTCATGCTTGACACTTTCCGTATTTAAATTGCATTGGTCAGAGTAACGGAGTGGAGGGGAATGACGTATGACAGTTAATGATATGATATGAAGATGTCCCCCTTCAAACTAAAATCGACCTATCTGAGCGTTTTTTAACATCTACGATATTAATGTTAAGTTTTTGTTGTATAGATGAAGAGCTCTTTATTTAGTACACTCTTTTTTTAACCGACTTCAAAAAAGGAGGAGGTTCTCAATTCGTCGTAATATTTTTTTTGATGTATGTATGTTTAGAAATAATACTTTAACACGGTGTCCGATTTTAATGATTCATTTTTGTTAGAAAGGGACTTCAGGAGTGGTCCCATATCAATTTGGTCAAAATCTAATACTTGGGTCCATTAGAAAATCCTCAAACTCTTCATTTTTTATGTATGTTTGGCGGTAATTCTTTACTACCTTGCCAATTTCTTTGATTCATTTCTTGTTAGTAAGAGGGTACCTCATGAGTGGTCCCATATAAATTTGGTAAAAAACTAATAATTGGTTCCATGAGAAAATCTTCAAACTCTTCATTTTTTTATGAATCTTTAGCGATAATTGTTTACCACCTTGTCCGATTTCTACGATTCTTTTTTTGTTAGTAAGGGGGGTACCTTAGCGGTGGTCCCATATAAATTTGGTCAAGATGTGGTGATGGCATCTGCACGATTTTGAAGTCGGTTTTTTAAAATTACTTTTAATACTTGTTTCATACACTGATTCCTTTATCAACGCCACTGTTTAGACACACACAAACAGTCAGACATTATCGTGAAAATGGATTCAGAGATTTCAAAACATAAAGATCAGTCGAAAACTCTAGGTCGAAAAAATCAAAATTACTATACTTTCCTTAGTAGTTAAAGCAAAGAAAAAATATATGGGCAGTACCCAAGCGGTTTCATAAATAAACTATTCAAAAACCTTTTATTCAAGATAACAAAAACTATATTACGAAGAATTACATACGTTAAGTACTGGAAATTTGATTTAATGTTTCATAACTTTGCAAACGCTTGCAATATCAGTAAAATTCAGTAGACATTGTTACTCAAGCAATTTTTGTCAATGTAGATTTACAAGAGAACCAGAGTACTAGCACTCCTGTACTATAGAGTATTAGACTACTAGTACTACTCCATAACCTACATAACACGAGGAGGCTAATGGCATAAGTTGTCGAAGCCAAAGACACCAATCAAAAAAAAATTCCATGGCCAATTATGATTTAAATAAATATTGAACTTGGATTTTTTCAATTTTTATATTTTGTTTAAAATTGAAGCAACTTTTGAGCCAAAACTAGAATGTTATAATTAAGAATGTTTTTAAAGCGCATGTTTTATGAACGTGTTAATTAAGGTATCAAATCTGGCCCAAATCATATCATTGCACTTTATCTTAAACTAAGGTATTTTTTTAAATAATCTTGATAACAATTTGTAACTGTGGGCATAACATCCTTCATTGATTAGGTAATAAAAGAAATATAAAGGTGAAGAAACAATAATTATAATTAGTACTTTATTATTGTTCGTTATTCGATCATAATTATTTTCCAAATTGAAAAATGGCAGGTAAGTAGTTTTTTTTTTGTATTAAAAGTGATATACTGAAGAACTTTATTTAAAATAATTTTTAGTAATTTAAAACTAATCGTTTTAATGGAAAATCTTTGATCAATTAGTTAAACTTTTCTCTAATATTAATTAATAAAAATATATGTTTTTGATCGTTTTCCAATTTTTCTCAATAACTTCCTGTGCTATACAATAAACAACAAATTTTTCTTGAATATAGAATTATCAGTACTACTAATTTGTATGGTTCTACAATTTTAGTTTTTTAATTTTAGTTTTAGTTCTGTTCTTTTCGAATTTTTTATAAAAATTAAAATAGAGGGTGGGACAACGAAAACGAAACGGTTCAAAAAATCACTTGAATGCGTCAATCTATTTCTCAAGGGAAAACCCTTTAGACTTATTTACAAACCCCTATCTTCCACCCCTTGAACAGGGTGCTGTACACCCCTAAAATCATAAATGAAAAGTGGGATTAAGTGACACCTTGTTTGAAACGTTTTCTAATTATCTTTTCAATTATGCCTCATTTGCAAAATGAGAAGTCATTTTGACATTTTAAATTTCAAATTTATTAGTTTCATTTACAAATAAGCATGATGCAATTCATGATTATCAATTGGATAGTTTGAACATTTAATTAGGTAATACTAAAGTCTACTAAAATTAATAAATTATCTTTTTGATTTTGTAAGCGTCTTTTTAAATGAAACGAATAAATTTGAAATTTAAAATATCAAAATGACATCTCATTTCACAAATGAGGCATAATTGAAAACATAATTAATAAACCTTTTAAACAGGGCATCACTTAACCCCACTTCCAATTACAAATTGTTCTCTATTTTTTTTGTTAAGCATTAAAACTATACTTTTGAATAAATCTTGTTAGTTATTGAGTAAACCCAGTGAAAAATTAATTAAAATATGTTCTCAAAAACTGAAATTTTTCTTTTTCCAATTTTTTGTTCAACATTTCCAGAACTATTAAATATATTATAGATTATAGTTTAGGAATATGTTGCATAAAATTGGAAAGAAAAGTAGTTTTCATTTATTTTTAGACGGATTTTCCTGTGTCATTTTCGTTTTCATCTCACGGGGTATAATCATAACTTATAGAGTTTCTCTCATTTTTTCGTCCAACGCCTTTCTATTTTGCAGTAATATGGACTAATACACGAAAAATGTTTCTAAAGTAAGGTTTGGTAAAAATCACGCATGTTGGAGCGTTCGATTCTTGTTTTTAAAATAACGGTTTGTATTTAATTCAGGGGCTTGCTTGGTTATCGCAGACATGACATGATCCGTATCTCTATTTTGTTGGTCATGGCCTACTTTCGAAACATTTTTTATCGATCAAAAAATCGCAAGACAATTTATAAAAATATATAATAAATAATTAATATAGAGCATTCAATATAAAAACCTATACACGTCATCAATCAGTTGTGAAGTCATAGCCTTGCAGTGTTGCCCAATCTTCAAAATAGTCTAAGAGTGTAGGAATTTTTAAAACTATAAGGTTATATTTTTTTGGCTATATTATTAGGAACATTTAATTTTAAATGTATAATGAATTCTATATAAAAGCCAATGAAGGTCATTGATAATATTTAGATTGAAGTTTTAGAAAAACACTGAATTTAATAGTAATAAATTTTGCACAAGAGGTTTAAAATGACAAAAAGAGGTTAGGTTAAGGATGAGAAAACAAACAAATTTTATTTAGGCTTGATTTAATTTACAATAAAAAATAATTATGTTCAGTTAGTTTATAAACATCCATATTTAAAAGAAGTAACAATAATTAGAACAGTTAGGTAATAAAATTAACAACACATGACATTTTAAAACTTAAATGATATTTAAGCTAAAATCAGTCCGAATAATCAGAATTAAAATCAGAATCATCTCTATTTGGTGTTATAATAATGGGAGCAATTTCCAATCGGTCCAGTATATGCTCTCTTTCACACCATTTAAAAATTTCTTTTTCAGTGTGTATTACACTGTTTGCCCACATTTGTGGGGTAATGGTTCGGAGTGCTTCAGACCATATGTCTATACAATCTCTTTGTGTCTTTCCATCACGACCAATGTGCCTGTTATAATATTGTTTTGAAATACCTCAAATCAGTTCTATTGGATTAAAAATACAATGGTAAGGAGGAAAACGTAACACTTTATGTCCATTCTGTTCAGCCAGCATATCAGCTACATATATTTTTGGTGGTTTATTAATAAAAAATAAAATCATTTAAAAAATACAGAAAAAGTAGATTTCCATAACTCACCGTCTAACAAGGTTCAAAAGTTCAGTCCTAAACATGGTGACTGAATAAGGTATGTTCTGATTCGGTGTTTTGTGAGCCAATGTGCTATGGTATGAAGCATTGTCCATTACAATTAAAGATGGTTCATGCAGTCTTCGAAGCAATTGTTCTTCGAACCATTTTGAAAAATTTTCATTATTCATCTCACCGTGATTATTATAATCATTGCTTTTTGAAGCAAATATGGCCTCGGCACCATCAATAAAACCATTTTTGTTTCCAGCATGAAGAGTTTATATATCTATAAAAATATCAATATACAGTTAAAATGTATATATTCATTAGTTTTTTTTTTATTAACCTTTTACCATCAACTTTTGTACTTTTTACACTTCCTTTATTGCTGTCTTGCCAAGAACGGTTTATGGTGCCATTTTGGAAAATCCAAGTCTTATGAATAAAAACAAACTGGTACAAATTTGCTTCCTTTTCTTTGGTATATTTTCTTAAAAATTCTGCCCGTTTCACGGCAATATCTGGAAGTTCTATAAGACCTCGCCTTGGTTCATCTTTCTGCCATTTGAAACCTATTTCTAATAATAAGGTATGCAATGATGTACGACATCCATTGAACAACTCCTTTTCATTAAGTTTTACCAACAAAAAATCTAAACTTGCTCCTCTGAAATTATCCATTAATTTGTAATTGTTTATTAATAATTTATATACATATACACTTACTAGACTCGTACATGCTATAAATAACATCTAGATAGCACTGGTATTCAGAATTCTTGTATTGGTAACTTTCTTTTGCCTAGGACGCTTTTTTGGTGGTGACTTTAGAACTTCACTGTTCTTTATAGCTTGTGAAATAAAACTAAGAGTAAAAAAGAACTAGTAGTAGAAAAATTGAGATTAAGTGCTTCTGCGACACGCTAAAACAAAATAATTATATTAATTTGACTGATACATTAGTAATTAACTCACTTCTCTTACAGCTGTTAAAGGTAACAAAGGCCCATTATTATCACGTTCTTTCTCAAAATAATTTACTAGAGAAGCCACTAGTTCCTTGCAGCGACTATTTACTTGTTTTGGCATTTTTCAATGAAAAAATACACAATAAACGAACACCACTATTAAATTCCTAATAAATTTGTTCTGAAAAGAACAGTTTGTTAATAATTTAATCTAAAATACAAATAATTTGTTGAAAAGAAATCGTATCGATGCAAAATAATACAAAACAAATAACAATTGACAACAATGTATTAAAATTGAAAGCTGACACATTTGATGCCAACTTTTATTATGAAATTCACTAGAAAGTATTCCGTTAATAATCTGCCTACAGTAGATTTACTACTGTGATATGATAAAAAATACATTTTTAATATGCAATTTTATAAAAATGAACTCCATGCGTCCAAATTTATTCATTTATTTGCAAAATAAAATTCAATTGTTTTTATTAGTGTGTGTGGTACCAATGACTGTCACTGACGTCATCTCTGACGTGCATCGGTTTTTATATAATTTATATATAATCAAACATATTTTTTCCAAATTGTTACGATAATTTTCTGAATTATAAAATAACATTTGATTATAACCTGAGAATATTTCATTAAAATTTGGATAACGACAATTATAGTCTATATTTTTTTTTAGAAACAGTTGAATTAACCCTTCCTCCTCATTCTTATGTCACGGTTATGGCTCACGATGAACCAAATGAACATAGCCACACCTTTCATGTAACCAACAACGGTGAGGTACCTGTCATAGCTGAAGTAAGTATAGATTTTGTTTTAGATTTAAATATTCAGATTTTTGTCATATTTACGCGACATAAATGCATTTTTACTACATATAAGTGGTTAAAACCTGCTTACAAGACTTACATCTGTAGTTATAAAGCATTTTAAATCGTTACTTACGTGTAAATCCTAAAGATCGAAACGTCAACGTTAATTCAGAAAAAAGTAGAGTTGGGTGATGCCGTGATTTTTCAATCACACCCTAATACGTTATTGTGATTAGTAAAATTCAAATAAATGAGGTTATATTTTTCTTAAATTATTAATAAATTGAGTATTCGTTAATATTTTTGCGGAAAGCATGTAAGAAATCGACAGAAAAACATGTAAAAATGTCAGTATATTAAGATAAAATAATTCGTGAAATAGCAACCTTTAAATGCTATATGCTACATATATCTCAGTATCATCTAACAAGTTAATCTTGTAAAAATTACAAAACGATTCTTTACTTTTCAGTCAATTCACCATGAAGCCGATGATGAGGAACATCCTCTTGTTGAAACCATCGCACCCAGTCAAAGCCATCAATTTAAGCACGGTGAGAACTACAAAAAATGTGTATTGAAAGTTACCAACAACACCGATCAGGAAGCCGTTTTTTCCGCAACTGGAGGTAAAGCTACTGCTGCAGATTTACAAGCCAAGATTAAACCAATGGTTAAGGAACATACCGAGGCTGTTTAAATTATGATGGCTGTATATATGATATAAATAAACTACCTTAAGTACTGAGTTTTGTGTTTTTATTCATTTACGACTATTTCTCTAATTGTGTGTGTGGGGGGTGCGTTGGCATCGGAATGATCCATTTGCCACAGACTTTTATATAATTACGAATGTAAAAATTATGTTTTTATGAAAGGAAAATTATATTTTTTTAATATCTATATTAATTTGTTTTAAAAAGGTAATTAGGGGCATCGAAAATATTTTTATTTTGAGTGCTAAGTAAGGATGTAATATTTGAAGGAAAATATGATTTGAAGCTATAGTTTGTAATAGTTGTTCGGTATAACGTTTATGGTTATCACAGGAAAAGAAAATATGATTTAAGTCCCCAAGTAAAATATTGTCGCATGAGCAAAATAGTGATGGATTTATACCAAATCTTATGAAGGTGAGATGGGAATTTTGCATGGTTAAGTTTGAGACGTGTAATAGTTACTGCATATTTTCTGGGGATAGTAAAGTTTGAAAGGTGTGAAATGTGACGTGGCACTGTAGGGTGAATTAATTTATAATAATTTGACATCGCAGGATTGAATTAGAAAAATTTAACCTCTTCCCTCCCTCCCCAACTGACTTACAAGACAAAGTATTTTTGTTTTTACTTAACGCCTAATCTGGGCCACTTGTTACTTCAAATTTCAATTTTAGAACGACTATGTCAGATGGAAAGACAGAGAGACATAAGTGTTTCTTATTGCCAAATTTGGGTACTAATGCGCAAATTACTTTAAAAATTCTTTGTTTTTGTCTTACAAATTTTCATGTTTCGTCTTTTTTAAATTTAAATTTGATATTGTTTTATCACGAGAGAAACGAGACGAGACGAGACAAGACGAGAAAAAGACTTTCTCGAGCGAGAGAAGCGCCTTCTCGTCGAGACGAGAGAACAGTTTTCTCTCGCCCTACGAGACGAGAGAGGCCACTCTCTCGTCTCGTCTTGTCTCGCAACATCACTACTCAGGATGGATTGAAGAATTTTATTATTGTAGGTGTATATTTCATTGTAATGGGGGAATATTACTGTTGGCTTAAACACGATAGTGTCGAAGGATAAAGTGTATATGGGAAATGTATTAAGATATATTACTGGATTCGTAGTTTCATTGGTAAAAGCATCTGCTAATAAGGGGCTCTTTTTCAATTTCCAGTAATTAGCAGTAAGATTGTTTAAGGCTAGCTGACAGATACTTTTTAATATGAGTTTTCCAGAATGAAAACATTTAAGTTTAATCATTTCTTTTGACGCTAGATAGGTACGTCTGAATACTGAGGGGCGGTTCTTGAGCCTCAACTAATATTGCTTGTACCGGTGACGACTTCATAGCTCCAATGCAGATTCTTATTGCATGATACTGAATTTTGTCTATTGTACGTTGGTGATATTCTGATGCTAAACCGTAAAGAATACTCCCATAATTTAGTATTAAACGAATGTATACCCTGTAAATTAGGAACAGTATCGGGGGGAAAAAATTAATAAATTGTCAATTATTTCTGAAAGTACGGGTGTTTTGTTTCCGTTGTATTTTTTATTAGATATCTTTTTAATAAAATACCATATTTTGTTTGGGGGCGTATTTTTATTTAAATCGTTTAAAAATAACTTCCAGCTTAAATCAGCTTTTGTTTTAAAAAGGAATTTAGCTTGTGATTCTATGTTTTTGACAGTCAGATAATTATTCCAATTAGACATTTGTTTGTAATTATTATATGCTTCTCTCCTTTTTGAAACTATTTGCGAACAGTCCCAGCAAAGTGGCCGAGAAGTAGAAGGTACAAAAGGATTTTTAATTTTCATGCATAAGGGTGCAATAGTGTCGATTGCGTTTATAAAATCATTAAATGAGTATGGTTCTGATGAGTTTTCTTGAAGAAGAAAATTGTCTAAAAGGGACTGAAACAGAGGCCAGTCAGAGGATTTTTCATCCCATTTCGTAGATGGGAAAATTTGTTCAGGGGAGAAATCGGAGGAAAATTCTATTAAAATTGGAAAAATTTCTCTAATTTGGATAACTCTACTTTTGTTTAAATACCAATAAAATTTTCTTTCAGCCAAAGATTTTTTATAACAAAAAAGAGGTTTTAAACTTCTATGATAGATATCTTAGATCCTTCAATTTTTTTAATATTTTTTTCAAACAAAAAACTGCGAACGTAGAAACATAAAATAAATTTCACTTAGCGGATTAGCAATATAACTTGTGGTCATGGACGCCGTTCGAAACATTTTCAGGGGACCAAGTCTTATAGGCAGGTCAAAACGCAGCAGGCTATAGTCGAAAGCCATAGAGAAAAAATCAAAAATCACAACTCCCAGGGAAGGTGGTGCAGACTCCCCCCATTGTCCTCGTGTGGTGGCTCCCATGCTTGTGGTGTCTTGTTTTTGGCATTAAATAATTCTTTCAGTGGAGTCCTGGGTTCAAATCTAGGATTGAATAATAATAATAATTTTAAAATTAAATTAAATGTTTTTTAAGCTTATTATATAAATTAGTATATTATGTTATGTTGGGAATGGGATGTTAATACATTGCCTAAAATATCTATTGTATCCCCTTCTGTCGCTAATGCAGTGAGGAAAAGTCATAAATTATCTATTTTATCTTCATACCTAAATTAATTTTTAAAATTTTTAGATTTTCGTTAGTGGGTCGTAGAAAGAATATGCTGTACAACTCGAGTTGATTGTTCATCGAACTTAGACGATTAAGCACTGCGTCCATGGCGTCGTGCTCAACTGCTTCATGCGATATGGCTTAGAATTATATTCAAACTTACACTTACGACATACGTAAATTTTTCCAAGGTCTAGCTTAGAAAAAAAAAGTGTCAATCCATGACATTTATATTCTTTTTTTATTATTTTGTTCTCTCTTTCTTAGTGAGTGGCATTATGTCAAAGTTAATAGTTATTTCACTCGCATTCTGTATATTATTTATTCTTATTTATCCAACACACATTGAAAACAATTTATAACGAAATTATTCAAACTATACTGGCACTATCAGATTGATTAACATACATTATCTTGATAATAATAATTATTTAACACATAATATTCCAAAATAGATTTTGGAAAGTTTATGTATGGTCAACCTTATCTGAAAATTCATATCTTTTATTTAAAATCGACTGGTACCTACAAGTTATTGATAATTTTTATACTATATTCCTGTTTATCACTTTTTATGTAGGTATTTATTAATCTATCGAAAACAACATTTAATTGTTAGTAGTATACAGAGTGTTTTAGCGTAAAATGTGTATACAGTAACTATATGTCTGGGACCCATTAATGGGTTTAGCATGTCTTAGTACTTAGGTACTTGGTGTTTTAATGATTTCGTACATAAGGAAATTTAATTGATGATTGCTGTAAATTTCCCGAAACGTTTAATAATCGTAATACGCATAATTATGTGTTTCAATGACACAGGTACGTATACCAATAAATGGCAACCCTGCATTTATGACATGTAGAAAAATTAAATGCGCCTTTATAAGCATATTAATTCATTTTTGTTTGATTATTGAAAATATACGTACAATGGATAAAAAAAGAAAAATGGTTGGTTTTTGTATATCTAGAAAACCCAGATATTTTAGTATTGAACTAGATTAAGCAGTGAAGGAACTATAAAGAGTTTTTATTATTGACATCACCTACCACAACTATCATTTAAATATTAATATCTTTCTTATTTTAAAAAAGTTGATTATGACCGAATGTGAATAATTCAATGTTACATTACATTTTGATTTTTTTAAGATTCCTTCACATCAAAAAAACTTACACTGTATATAGATTAATAAGTTCAAGAAGCTTTAAGCGGGCTTTGGTATCAACTCTTTTATGTCACATTTATAAAGGATATCTAACAAAACCAGTGACCTGAATTGGAAAAGAGGATAACATTCTCTAACCAAATACCCAGAATGAAGTGAAGCGATACAAAAGTGTGTCCATGTACTTGGAGTTGGTCTTGTTAGTAAACAAATTTGGAAGATGGACCTATCGAACTTGCATTTTAGACGTTGCCACATTATTTAATTTTATAAAGTATCAAACCGAGACGATAATTATACATTTAATTTGTTTGCTATTATTTTTATAAAAATTTCTATAAAAGTCAGTAGAAAATAGTATACATATTTCATAACAAGTACGAAAAGTTATGTCCACTATTTTTCTTAGGACCACAACATTTTTATTCTTAATATTTTTAAACACTCCATCTTTTACACAATTTCTAAATCATACCGGATACCATAAAAGAGATACAAGGCAAAAAAGATTAAATTAATATAAGTCATGTGAGGCATTCAAATCTTCAATTATACCTTTTTAATCGTCAGTCAGAATATATGAACTTTTTCACAAGGAAAAGGATGCAAATGGTATTAAAACCTCCAGAACTCCTAAACAGAAAACTAAACTTTGCAACAGAGGTGAAGTACCTAGGTTTCACCTTTGACAGCAAGTTAACATGGAATTCGCATTTATAAAACAGAGTTAAAAGAGCATACATTGCTTATGAACAATGCCGTGGAACCGTGGGGCGCACCTGGGGTTTCATCCCCAGAGTCGTCGCATGGACTTACACGGCTATCATAAGACCTACGCTAACATACGGTGCAGTTGTCTGGGTACCAAAAACCCAAAAATTAATAGCTATCCGTAAACTAGAACAAATTCAGTCTCAACATAACATGAGCCATGAAAACAACACCTACCAGAGCCATGGAAGTCATTTTTAGTCTCACTCCCCTTGATATTTACATCAAGGAGGTTGCTCTGACTACAATGACACGCCTCCGCACGGTTAGAATAGAACCTGATGTAGGATTTGGTATGGCGAGACGTCGCTTTTGGCAGGAGGCGCTCGATACGCTCCCACTGCGTCAAGCGAACATGGACTCCATCTCACCGAGATATATCTTCCATAAGCCATATAAAGTTATAATAGAACAAATAGAAGAGCCGGAAGAGGCAGGTACGATTCATATCTACACCGACGGTTCTAAAACAAAACATGGCTCAGGATGCGGAATATACTCTAGATTCTTAAACCTAAACATAAAATGAGCTGTAAGCAATGGTGCCAGTGTAGTTCAAACAGAGCTACAGAGCTAACGAGGATTCTCATAGCAGCAAAAGAAATAACCAGAAACAATATCACTGGAAGGAACATGCTTATCTATACAGATAGCAGATAAGCATTACTCACCCTGAACATACCAAGAATTTACTCAGGGTTAGTACTAGAATGTCACGAAGCTTTGGCCGAAGTATCCATCAATAATGGGGTCACGTTGAAAGGTAACCGTTTTGCTGATTCACTAGCCAAGAAAGCAGCCAACCAAATACTTTTTGGAGCTGGCCCCTCTATTGGCCTGACAAAATCGATAATGACAAACCTAATTAAAGAACATTCCTTTGTATAATTCAAGGAAAGATGGGATGAAACGAGAAACTGCAGAGTTGCCAGGGAGCTCTTAAGTTATCCTGACAACATTGGAGCAAACAAATACTTGACTATGACTTGACAGAATTTGCGCCTAGTCACAGGCATTCTGACTGGTCATTGCCAAGTACGAAAGCATCTCATATCATGGGGCTGTCAGAATCCGCACTCTGCAGAGGGTGCGAACAAGAAGATGAGACCATCTAGCATATCCTTTACGATTGCTCGACGCTCTCATTTATTAGAAGATTTGTGTTCGGCGATTATCGGCTAACACCGGCCGATATAAGAGAAACACCTCTTGGCGACGTTGTCAATTACATTAAATCTGTAGGCTGGCTTACGAGTTAGGAAGTGCCTATCATCTTAGGAGGATGCACAATATGCCTAATGAGGCCGTGGGCCATCCTCCACACGTTACAGATGCATAGAGATATACGAACTTAATTGTGGTACGCCACAGGGTTCAATCTTGGGACCACTCTTATTTTTACTTTTATTATAAATGATACTTTTATACCTCACAATAAATCCATAATGACTCGACTTTATTAACCAAGCCAACTCTCTATCTTCCTAGGAGTTCCTTGGAAAAAAGTTTAGAGATATTGTTGAGTAGTAAAAAAATTAAACAAGGTATGGAAATTCATTCTTTTTAGTAACTTTTTAGTAACTTTTTAGTAACTTTTTAGTAACTTTTTAGTAACTTTTTAGTAACTTTTTAGTAACTTTTTAGTAACTTTTTAGTAACTTTTTAGTAACTTTTTAGTAACTTTTTAGTAACTTTTTAGTAACCTTTTAGTAACTTTTTAGTAACTTTTTAGTAACTTTTTAGTAACTTTTTAGTAACTTTTTAGTAACCTTTTAGTAACTTTTTAGTAACTTTTTAGTAACTTTTTAGTAACTTTTTAGTAACTTTTTAGTAATTTTTTACCTTCGAAAAATCAATAAAAATACATAGACAAGGGTTTTTTTTCTATAACTTTATCTGTGAATTTAAGACTGCTCTTTAGTCTAAGTGTTTTTTTTTAAATCATATTGCCCTATTGAAATTAGATCGTGATATTTTTAATAATAGAAATAATAATTACTTTTTTGAATGAATCAGGCATAAGCAAGGATTCATTATATATACAGTATATGGTAATTTTTCAATCCTGACCAGTTCGTGAATTATAACTTTTAGTTTTGATGGTGAAGTAGAGAATAAACTAGTAGTTTAAAATTTGGATTAAACTTTATTTTTTCAGCAAGATGCAATACTTTTCCCCTCTTCCATAAGTTTTCTATTAAATTCGTTAGCGATTTCTACAGAATCCATTGTCTTCTTTTATTTCTTTAATGGTAATTTCTTTATTATTAGATTCATTTTATTCAACGTCCCATAAGTGCTTTGAATTATTATCATTTCTTTCTATCTGTTCTTTGTAGTAATTAGATTTTATTTTATTTACGATATTTGTTAGTTTATTTCTATATAATTTATACTCATTTTTTAATTGTTCGTTATTTGGAACTTTCAAGTTTTTTAAACAAATCGTTCTTTATATTTTTAGATGTTAGTAAGACATTTGTAATCCATGGCGCAAGTTTTAAATTTTTCTTGTACATTTTTTATATCTAAACATTTGTTACTGTTTTCAGACAGAATTGTAACCTACCTCACCCAGGTACCTTAATAATTTATTAATTCCATTTATTAAAAATAATATTACATTCTTATTAAATTCAAAATCCTTCATTTAACGAAAAATCTCCCAGGTAATTAAATCTTATTTACGACACCTAATAAATAATATTTATAACCCTGCCCGTAAGAGATCCACTTTCTTACAAGTGCCTGGGAACCCAGCCCAAGAAACACTTAACGAACTTATTTTAAGTGCGTTTCGTTCCCGAACTGGGAACTAAGACACTGATGTCACAAAAAGCCATTAAAACGGGTATAAGAATCCGGACCCAAATGAGCTCGCGAGGCATTTATTTTTATTATTTGATATGCAAGCATTCATTTTATTATTTGTATCCAGTTATATTTCAAGTTAAGTAGTCAGTACCTTTCCTAAAACGTTCTTCCCAAACAACGTATATCCTACAATACCTCCAATTCCCCGAACGCTGTCAACGTCCCACTCCTTATTTCCCGACGCTTGCTGTTCCTAAATATTTCCTTCATAATATCCTTGTCGACACCCTTCGTCACGTCCCGCACCACGTAAATATTTCTACCGTATTACTGTCCCAATGCAGTACTGGACTAAATACCTTCCTCTCCACCATGACGCTAAGCGCCTCGATGCAAGGCGACGCTCAACGCTGCAACGTACCTAAATCGACGCCGTCACAACGTTAGATGAAATTAGTACATAATATAATGTCTGTATTTTCAATGGCGAGTCAAAAAATTTATGTAACTTACTTTGAGATACCACCGGGGTCGTTTAGATGAGAGCCTGACATTTGCTTCAAACTATTATCAATGTAACCATATGGCCTTCAGTCGCTTACCTGGAAAGACAGTTAGGTTAGTCATCTGTTTTCGATAGGTGAATTTAAGTTAATTCAATAAAAATTATAAAAATCAATATTAAGAAATATACAGGGTTGTATTAAGTTATTTCAATAGAAATTATAATAATTAATATTAAAAAATATACAGGGTTGTATTAAGTCATTTCAATAGAAATTATAAAAATCAATATTTTAGAAATATACAGGGATGTGCTCTCTTGTATAAATTGTACACAAGATAGTAAAATTTAACAGTAAGTTAACCAACTGGTGAATATACTGTTCGTTAGCTCAAGGGGGACACCTATATGGTAAGCCACCCATTCTACAAGGTTTAAAAACAAAGTATAGTGAAATCAACATAGTAAGGTAACCAACTGGCGAATTGGCGCTGTTCATTCCTTCCGTTGGTCATCACCTCTATACTCGTCGAAATATTTACCTAAGAGGGTGTGTGTGTATCTAGAAGAGAATCAAATCAACATCAACACAGTAGTTAATCAACTGGCGAATTGGCGCTGTTCGTTAAATCCGTTGGTCATCAACCTAAATAAAATATATCTTGATAGCAAATGAACGTGGTCTGCGTTTGAACGGGAGTCAAGTGGGATCTCAGTAAATAGTACCAATTGTAATATACTTGGCTAATTATTGCATCATATTTAAAGTATGAAAAATAAAAGAGTTTTGAAGTATTGTTATTACATTACCTTTTTCTATAATAGGAATAATATCAGAAATAAAAGCTTTAGATTTGTTAAAAATGTGATCTAAGCATTTGTCAAGTCTGGTTAGTTCATTAATTGTAAAGATATAATTGAATGCATTAAGAATATTTAAAACTCAATTGTAGCTAGTAGGAAAAATAAAGTTTTTTCCGGCAAAATCGAAGAGTCGGCAACGCGGCACCGACGAGGCGCCGGTTGACGGCGAAGTGTGGGTGATGAAGATCGAAGAGAAGATGCTGACGGTGACGATGGGCATGACGACGTTGACAACGAAATCCACGACTTTGAGTGAGAAGTATGGAAACGATGAGTACGAGTGGATATTGTCTGATGTTTCAAGCGCCCACGGACTGGTGGCGCCTATCTGGATGTCTCCCGCGAAACATAGACTGCTATAAACTTATTATTTTTGTTGTTTATTGTTCGTTTTAGCGATGATTTTTTTCTGCGACGTTGATGCTGGTTCGTTTGGAAGGTGTGGTTAAAAATTTATGGCTTTGCTCTTTGTACTTTGATAATTCACTTGAATCTTCCTTAACATGATGTGGGAAATCCTGTAATTTAATACGTTTAAAGATGTCATATTTTCTTAAAAAAACGTATGTATAGGTACTAAATATTTACCAAGGTTACAGAGTCATTATGTTATTGGCGCCGCATTATATCTAAATACAAATAATTGCCCAGTGTTGTAAGTTTTCTTTCTTTATTTTTTAAATCTCAATCTTATTCATTAATTTTTAAATTCTCCGACATTATCTTTAAGAAAATAATTAGGAATAAAGAAAAGTACATTTAAGATAAAATATTAAGATATTTTGACCATTTAGTGGAATTGGAAGAATATTTGTGCAGCGAATCCAGTGGCCAAAATTACGAGACAGTAACTAAAAAAAAAAAATGGAATAGTGAATTAATATTTTACGTCAAAATGATGAAAACTGAAAATCAGCAAAAAAGGTGCAAGAGTAGAAACTTACTATCAAAATGACATATGTCACCGTCACTGTCAAAGAAATCTTTCATTTTTGCAAAAATGATCCTTTTTGTCATCAAATATTAGCACAATCATCTAAAAGAAAGCAGCAAATGAGATAGAAGTTTCGAGAGTTTTTTGAATTAAAAGTTTAGCCATTACAATTTATAATCTATATATTCCTATTTTTTTTTGTTTTAGTTAGAAACGAAGGATTTTTTAATAATTATAACCTAAAATAGGTAATCCACGACATAGTAGCTATGTTGTATTGTTTATTATATTATGCAAAATTAAAAAAAAATATATAACAACCGTACCGCCTTCGGCAAAAGAAGTTAACCTTTTCTTATGAGACGTAAAATCTATTTCGACAAAGGACCACCCTCCATTTCTACCAAGAAATGTAATTATGTTTCTTTTACAGGTTGGCACAAATTAAAATGTGCAAATTATTCAGTAATTGGTGGAATAATTTTTTATGTAAAATCCAATTGTGATTTTGTAGGATTCAGTGACCGAGACGGTCTTTTTTCTTCACTAGCTGAAAGTACTGATCCGGTTGCGACTTTGTGTATCTTACGTAGACAATGGGTGGCATATGAAAAACTTTTTAATTATTAATATTAGGAAACAAGGTTATTCATCATAAAAAGTCGAGCATAGTCTAAAACCTAAAATACAAGCATCAGATATCAAATTTTATTAGTCGTATACGAGGTTTGTCAAAAAAGGTACTTTACTCTTTAGCAAAATTCATATTTTTTTATAAACCTCGTATACGGCTTAAAAAAATTGATATTTGATAGTTGCATTTTAAGTTTTGGACCGTGTAGAACTTTTTATCCAGAATAAATTTTTTCACAAAACCAATAATAAAAAAGTTTTCCATATGGTTCCAACTTAAGTGGACACACTGTATATCTCTACCATTTTTAAGTAATTTATATTTTTCCATGAAATTTATGGCATGTATATAGTTTGTTAATGCTTACTTCCACTTTGTAAAATAAATCATACAGTGTTCAAAAAAAATAGGAATATTAATTACTGAAATAAGGTGCATTTTCATGTATTCTCATAATTGGAACATGATTTCTAAATATTTATTTGTTATATTAAATACTAAATAATATGTATTAATAATACAGGGTGTGACAACAATACAAAAATATAACAGTTTCTTTGCATATTTTTTTTACACTTCCCACTAAAAATTATAAATCAATATAAAAGAAACTGCATTTTTAAAAACCTGTTTTATTACATACATTAACTATTTACACACCTAGAAAATCTGACTCATCTTTCAGCAGTATCCATAATAGTCCTTAAAACACTTGAAGGGTATTTTATTTAATTTTCGAATCGTGCAGTATTCCAGGTACCAGAAAACACTTGAAATATGAGCACATATGCCTTGAACTAGTCTTACATGTACAGTAATATCTAGTAATGGGATTCTCTTGAATTTAATTGTACTCTATAAATAAAGTGTTCTTCAGGATTATTCGCAAATCTCGAATATATCGCAAAAAACGAAAGCACGCCACATAGAAAGTTTCCTAACGAAAATGAACTACCTACTACCAAAAAATTCCTAATAACTATTGAAATTGTTCTTAACAACAACTCAAAAAAGAAGAAGAAAATATACAATGTGAATTAGAATTGCTACGTTTGAATATCCACATCCGATTTTCAATTTTAAATGAAGTTCTACTGCAAAAACTGTAAGTTTTTTGTGGTGTTTTAATTTAATTAAAAGTAATCTACAAAAATAGAATTATATTTAAAAGTAAAGGGCTTTTTAATTAGAACATGTCTTATTAGTCATTCATTCTAGTCAAGAGTTAGTAGAATTATTTCTACATTTAAGTAGGCGTAGAACGGGATTTGGTTAGTTAAAAAGAGCTATGATTATAATACGAGCAAAATTGAATTCGTTTCAAGACTTTCTACACTATCTTAGGTATGCCAAATTTTTCGTTAAATCTGTTTTTGTAATTATTAGCTGTTTATGTAGCTCTTTAACACTCTGTAATACTTACAATTCCTTAGTTTTGAATCCTTCTAAAAGCTCATTCTGTAGAGCTGCCTACATGAGGTCCATAAAAAAGTTGCCTTTAAATACTTGAAAAATAACATACTAAAATTTGAACAAATGCTGACATTACCCAAAATCAATGTAAAAAGTACGGGGTCCTCTTCGTCCTTCTTTTTATAAAGTTCGCCAAATTAACTATAGTTGGCGGGTTGTACGTTAGTGACGTTTATTTTCTATGTAAGTCAACGTGAAATAAAGTGTTTTTTTTTAAATTGGTGAAAAGAATCAAAATATTGTGAAAAAATTCCTGACATGAGTGACAAAAACATTAAACCAAGATTGACTTCGTTACAGGTTGTAAAACGGGATATACATCAGATAGAAATCATTTCAGTCTTTTTAAAGCTTTTAGTGTAAGTAAAATAATGTATTTATTTCTAAATATAATATTTATTGCAAACTAATCACAACTCGTATCTTATAGAGTGTAGTTTATTTCTATAATATAAAATTTTACAGTCATCCTGACTTACAAACGTTAATAATTACACATTAAATTTAACCTAGTATTTTTTTTTAGAGGTTTAATGTTAGATCAAGAGTTGTTGTTATTTTTTTGTTGAACCCCAATTTTGTCATTGTAAAAGTTTTTATAGGATCCTAAACGTTTAGTGGCAGCATATTACTCCTAGGGCTGATAAAGCACTTTCTAGAGATAGTGCTGTCTGCAAGCTACTTTTTAAAATATATTTCCAAAATGAGACTCTTTTACTGATAGTACCGTTAGCAAAATAAAAAGGGGAAGGCCATAATTAAAGGATGAGGCAATACTATATACATTCCGAAATCTCTCTTAATGCTTGTATTATAACAATAAACAAATCTGTTAACTGTATTTAATTTTGGTCTTAAAACCATACTAAGGTATAATTAAAAAAAGTTTAGTCACAAAAGTGTACTTAATAAATTTCACCATTTAACAAACCTTTGCGAATTTGGTCACAACTATCTGATTTGCATTTTATATAGATGCGGTGTTCATTATATAGACGGCATTTTAAACATTTTTGGTTAGAGTGTAAGGTTTCCGAGCCGAATTCGGACCACATTTTATTTATATCCTGAAAAAAATTGAAATTTAAGCATTCTAGGAACGAACTCAAGTGTTGATGTTTGCAAACACAATTTTTACAAATAAAAATCATCAGAAAAAGGATTTTATTTTTCCCTTTCCCAAAAAACGACT